TAAACATATCTTGTCTGACAGAAAACCTGTTTTTCACCACTGCTGGTGACCAGTCCCTATGCACAGCTCTTAAGAACATATTTTTCAGCGTACATACGTAACTTCTTACACAACATTCATATGTGTGTTTTGCAATGATACTGATGACCACTGTAATACCGGCTTTTTTCTGAGACTTCACATGACACTCTTTGGTGAACCAGAATGTATATACCAGACCCAGGAGATTCCTGTAGTTCCTATTCATGCCCCTGTGTGTCCCTTGAAAGTTGGCACTAAGAGGTTCCTCAGTCACAGCATCTGAAACAACTGAATAACTTCATTGGCTCTGGACATTATAAAATATATTGGACTAAATCTGCAAAAGTGAGCAGTGATTTTGGATGCCCCACTCGACATACCTTAACATGCTGAAGATATACAGAGCATCTTCCCTTTGAAAATTAGGCCCCTGAATCATAAAAATATAGGGCTGAGAGGGACCTTGAGAGGTCATCTTGTCCATTCCCTGGTGCTGAGACTGGACCTAGAATACCTAGACCATCCCTAACAGGTGTTTGTCCAACCTGTTCTTAAAAACCTCCAGTGAGGAGGATTCCATAACCTCCCTTGTAAGCCTGTTCCAGTGCCTAACTATCCTTATTAGGAAAAACTTTCTAACTGTATCCAACTTAAATCTCCCTTGTTACAGGTTCAGCTGATTACTTCTTGGGCTAATATCATTCTGGATATGGAGAACAATTGATCACTATCCTCTTTTAACAGTCCTTAGCATATTTGAAGACTGCTGTCAGGTCCCCCCTCAGCCTTCTTTTCTCAAGACTAAATATCCCCAGTTTTTTTTAACCTTTCCTCATAGGTCAGCTTTTCTAAAACTTTTATTGTTTTTGTTGCTCCCCTCTGGACTCTCTCCAATTTGTCCACATCTTTTCTAAAGTATGGCACCCAGAACTGGACACAGTACTCCAGCTGAGGCCTCACCAACGCTGAGTAGTCGGGACTATTACCTTATAATACTCCTGTTATTACGCCCCACAACAATATTAGCCCTTTTTGCAACTGCATCACATTGTTGACTCATTCAGTTTGTGATCCACTATGACCCCCAAATCTTTTCAGCAGTATTACTGCCTAGCTAGTTATTCCCCATTTTATAGTTGTGCATGTGATTTTTTTCTTCCAAAGTGTCATGCTTTGCACTTGTCTTTATTGAATTTCAGCTTGATGATTTCAGACCTATTCTCCATTTTGTATTCCAGTGCTGTCCTCCAGACTGCTATCAACACCTCCCAGCTTATGTCATCTGCAAATTTTATAAGCATGGTCTCCACTCCATTATCCAAGTCAATAATGAAAATATTGAATAGTACTGGACCCAAGACAGACTCCTGCAGGATTCCACTAGATATGCCCCCCCAATATGATGATGAATCATTGATAACTAGTCTTTGAATAGGGTCTTTCAACCAGATTTGCACCCACCTTACAGTAAATTCATCTAGACCACATTTCCCTAGTTTGCTCATGATAATGTCATGTGGGACTTTATTTATTATTAATTATTAATAGTAGTAGTACTATGTGTAGTTTGGTAGTGCCTAGGGGCCCCAGTCATAGACCAGGACCCTATAGTGATAGGTGCAATAATGTGTCTCATGATGGGTACTGAAAAATTGAGGCATCAAAAATCATTAGACACTTTTGGAAATGTAGGCCATTATGTTAATGGGAACAGAGTCACCTAGTCAGATGGCAGCGTGACTTACTCTTTAAAAAAACATTAAAAACAAAACCCCAATATTTCAATTAATCAGAAATGTATTAATAAACTGCAGCCAATATAATGTGCTTTCAAGACAGTTACTTTTATGACAAAACTGGTCTCTACTAGGCTATAGCACACACTAGGGCTTTTCTCTAGACCAATGGGAATGCAGTAATTCAATAATGCTACCATACATAACTGCCACATTAGTGCATCAACATGCATCTGACAAAGTGATTTAATATACCTAAGTCGCATGATAAAAATAAAGTCATTGTAATGGAACATTGATCCTGTAACAACATCTCGTGTCCTGAAAATGAATACCTCAGCATTTATGTAGCAGAAGGACAAACCCCATCCTTTGACAGTGTTCTGTTCCAGTTAAATGCTCTCTTAAGCCCACTTCTAGTACTGCACCATTAAGATTTACAAGAAAGAACACATAATTCTTGGCCCTAATCCTGCAACCAAAGTCGTCAATGGGAGTTTAGCCCATTGGAGCAGGTTTGGACCTTAGAAGACGTACTCATATTATAAACTTTTACTCTGAGTAAACTACCAACTTCAGAAAAAGATGAGTTTAAGAGGACCTATTCTTTACAGCATGAACCCAGTCCAACACTGAGATCTGCTAGTGTGGACTCAAACCACCTAACAAGGTCCCATTGACTTTAATGGGACTCCATATCGGGATACGGATCCACACAAGCAGATCCCAGTAGAGGATTGGGACCTATGATTGTTGCTAGCACAGTTTCAATCATAGTTTTAACCACAGTGTATTGTGGGCATCGCCACATAGTCCATAAGAAACTGGAATGGTCTCACAAGACAAGTGGTGGGAAGCACATCACTGAGTCATTTAAAATTAGACTTGACAAAGCACTAGAAAACTGTCTAATAGATAAAACCCTGCACTGACAGAGGCCAGTCAATATGACCCAGCAAGTTTACAAAAAATAAGCGACACAGTATTTGCACCCCAAAATTCTACATTAACAAGTTCCAGCTATTGGTTATGCATCGTAGATTTCACACCATTCTTTCCTGAACTTAACCCCCCCCCCCAAATAATTTATGGTAGGATCCAGATTATCTGTATCATTGATTCAAGAGCAAGTGTTTAAAAAAAAATAGGGAGACATATTGGCAATTTATTAGGAAATTTTGGGTAATCAAGAGTCTACTGTACTGGACAAAAGGTTCACCACAAAGATCACTTAATATAAAAAATAGTGCTGAAAGATGATTACTCTGATGTCCTACAATGGATTTAAAAGGCCAACTATATTTTTTTATATAAAAATTTAAAAATGGATTAATCGGCCAAATTCAGCTCTAAGTTAAACGGATGTAAATTTGGAGTAACGGCACTGCCATCATAGATTTATAGATTCCACAACTAGAAGGGACACTGGATCACACAGGCTAACTTCAAGTATAATACAGGCCATAGAACGTCCCCAGAATAATTCCTAAAGCATACCTTTTAGAAAAACATCCAATCCTGATTTAAAAATTGTCAGCGGTGGTGAACCTACTAGGTAAATTGTAAATTGTTCCAGTGGTTAATTACTCTCACCTTTAAAAATGTATGCCTTCTTTCTACTCTGAATTTGTCTAGATTCAACTTCCAGCCAGTATCATGTTATACAGTTCTTTGCTAGATTAAAGAACCCATTATTAAGTATTTGTTGCCCACATAGATACTTATAGACCATAACCAGGTCACCCCTTAACCTTCTCTTTGTTAAACTAAATAGATTGAGCTCCTTGAGACTATCACTATAAGGCATGTTTTCTAATCTTTTAATCATTTTCGTGGCTCTTCTCTTAACCCTCTCCAATTTATCAACATCCTTCTTGAATTGTGGACACCAGAACAGGACACAGTATTCCAGCAGCGGATGCACCAGCACCAAATACAGAGGTAAAATAACCTCTCTAGTACTACTACATACTGTTTATGCACACCAGAACTGCATTAGCTCTTTTGGCCACAGGGTCATATTTTGGACGCACTGGACATATTTTGGACACACTGGAAGCTTGTGGTCACTAGATTATTTCCCATGACACCAAAATCTTTTTCAGAGTCACTGCTTCCCAGGATAGAGTCTCCTATCATGTAAGTGTGGCCTGCATTCTTTGTTCCTAGATGTAAACGTTTACATTTAGCTATATTAAAACAGATATTGTTTGCTTGCGCCCAGTTTACCAAGCAATCCAGATCACTCTAAATCAGTGACCTGTCCTCTTCATTATTTACCAAATAGAATTGCTCCTGGTTCAAACTGGTGTAACAGAGCAGAATTTGACACAGTGTATCTTAATTTTAGGGTTCTCTTTTGGAACACAGTTGGACAATTGAGAGTCACTGCTATAAAAACTATAATGAACAAAGTTGAACACAAACCATTCCATTCATCCCTGGGAAGAAACCATAAAAACTGTCAATGTTCTAACATACATTTAGCATTGTGGGCTTTCTATTTTGAACACTAACAGGCTTTTTAAAAATCCCTTTTACTGTTTTGATCACACATGGTGGGAGATTAAAGTATTTTCCTGGTTGATTACATTACATTTTGCTTCTGGGCACTTGATTTTTAATACCTTCAAGATATGCATGCTATTTGGTGACTTTCTTAATAGTCTTCACTATTAAGAACAAACCCATGACTAAAACTGTAAATTCATTAGGACTAGGACTTCTTCTCACTGGCAGTCACATAGGCATGACTAAATTGATAATAGAAGTTGTTTTATTCTTTAAGGGTTCTGTGTGTTTTGACCTCTTTTAGTTTTAACTCTAACACAACCTATAAAAATACGTTAACAGAAAACAAAAAGAAAATATGCTTGGTTTTACAATCTTTCCAAGATCAGCCTGCTGTATATCCAAAAGAGCGCAAGAACAATCTAGTTTGGTGAATCTTTAGTATTTTGCTGGTAAAAGGAGTCACATAAATAACATCCCCTCAAATGTCTGAAATATTAAAGAATAGTTGATATATCAAATAAAAAAGCATAATCAACTAAATCATTTCTGTCGTACAAAACTTGATCTGCTGTATTGCTATTAATACCACAAAAAACTTTCAGCTGGCTTTCCACTTGCCTAAGGCTAGTCTTCCTCTGTAATCCATTACCAGATGCTGCAGGAAAATTGGCTGTGCTAGTTTACTTATTTATTTTTCAAATAAGCAAGATTTTGTTTAAAGTGATTTACCTGCAGTGTCATACAAATTCAGAATTACTTCTTTATTGCCAACGGTAATACTGGTGGTATACTTCTCAAATACAGAAGGTGCATATTTCTGTCAAAAAAAGGAAATACAATTCTAGTTAAATGATAATAATACTATTTTGCAGTTCAGTAATCCCTTCCCTCCAGGGATCTCAAAGCACTTTATAAGCATGAATGAATTAAGCCTTACAGCAACTCTGGTAGACAAATATTATCCCCATTTTACTGATGGGGAAGGTGAAGCAGACAGGTTAAAATGACTTGTCCACTTTCACATGGCAAAGAGCAAAGGGATTAGAAACAGCACTGACATCTCCTGGAGGTTATGTTCCCATATATACTCTAACAAGTTTTAATTCTCTGAAATACCATTATACAAAGAGAAAGGAATGATTTGGCTGTTACAGGTTTCAAGCTTTATTTGAACCTTGCCACCAATATTCTAGGTACAGCTCTGTTTTCTGAGCCAGATATCTGGTATTCTCCCTCCTCACCCTTTTGTGTTACCAGAAAGCCCCAACCAAATCTTCACATTACAGGTTTCAAGACAGAGACTTCTCTGAAAATAAGGCTGGTTACAAATGCTTGGAGGAAAAATCATTCTTGAACTTTAAAAAAACTGAAGGCACAAAAGTGACTGCAAGAGAAGTGTCTAAACCCCAACTCTCAAATTTACTAAGACGAGCTCAGCCACCGCCTGGCAGTTACTTCTCTCAGGGCAGGTACAAACCCGTCGCCTGCACATCCTGCCGCGACTTGGTTTAGCGATGAGTTTAACAGCCTCCAGAAAGCCCCCACCCCCCTTCCTGGAAACCCCCTTCACCCCAACCCAAACCTTCCCAGCCTGGTGTGAGTGACAGCAGCAGGCACCTCTCTGCCTTGCCCAGCGCGGAGCCCAGCGTGCCCCGGCGCCTGCTGTCGCTCTGGCCAGCGGGAAACTTCTTTGAGGACGTGAATTTCCCCCCATCTCTCTGGGCTCCGGGCAAGAGCTCAGCAAATGAGCCCCTGGGGGGCCCGGCTGCTCAGGGGAGGGCTAGTCGCGTCCCCTTTGGGGCAATCCCGGGGGGGGGGGGAGGCGGGCAGAGCCCCCCTTGTCGCGGGGTGCAGCGGGGGGGGGGGCTCCTGGAGATGCCGGCGGGCTGTTCCCCTGCTGGGGCGGGAGGGCTGTTCCCGCGAGGGGCTGACAGGCTGGGGCTCCTCAGGGAGGGGCAGGATGTGGGGGGGTCAGGCCCCGGCACGCACCTCCGGGAAGGCGCCCTTCGCGTACACCATGAGCAGAGACGTTTTCCCGCAGCCTCCATCCCCCACGATCACGATCTTCAGCTCCTTCTTCCCGGAGGGGGCGGGCGGGCTCTCGCTCGCCTTGGGGGCCCCGGGCCCCCCGCCGGGGACGGACCCGTTCGGCACCGCCATGTGCGGCGGGGTGGGGGTGGACCCGCCTCTAGAGCAGCGGCAGCCCCGCGGGAGCACGCGGCATCCCTGTCAGCTCGGCTCCCTCTGCCGCCGGGGGTCGCGGCTCCGGGCGGAGGTGGGCGGGGAAGGGGCCGAGCAGCCCAGCTCCGGCTGCGCCGGGGATTGGCTGAGGGGAACGCGCTCGGCTCGAGCCGCCGGCACCAGCCGCCCCGGCTCCGCTCCCTGGTGGTGTCCCGCACACGCAGACGGGAACCCCGCCCCGAGGTGGCGCCATTGCCCGTCGGCCCGGCTCCCGCTGCGCCTCACACGCCCCATCGGCGGACTTCGCTACCGGAGCCTTCAGGGCAGACACCGACACCCCCCCTCACACCCACACCCACCCAGGGGCCCCGTGGGCACCGAGACCCCCACACACACACATCCAGGGGCCCTAGGAAACTGAGAGACACACACACATCCAGGGGCCCTAGGGAACTGAGAGACACACACACATCCAGGGGCCCTAGGGAACTGAGACACCCCCCACACCCACACCCACCCGGCACCGAGACCCCCACACACACACATCCAGGGGCCCTAGGAAACTGAGAGACACACACACATCCAGGGGCCCTAGGGAACTGAGAGACACACACACATCCAGGGGCCCTAGGGAACTGAGACCCCCCACACACACACATCCAGGGGCCCTAGGGAACTGAGACACCCCCCCACACACACACACATCCAGGGGCCCTAGGGAACTGAGACACCCCCACACCCACACACACATCCAGGGGCCCTAGGGAACTGAGACACCCCCCCACACACATCCAGCCCTAGAACTGAACACCCCCTACACCCACACCCACCAGGGGCCCGCCGAGACCCCACACATCAGGGGCCCTAGAAACTGAGAGACACACACACATCAGGGGCCCTAGGGATGGACACCCCCCCACCACACATCCAGGGGCCCTAGGGAACTGAGACACCCCCACACATCCAGGGGCCCTAGGGAACTGAGACACCCCCCCTCACACCCACACCCACCCAGGGGCCCCGTGGGCACCGAGACCCCACACACACACACATCCAGGGGCCCTAGGAAACTGAGAGACACACACACATCCAGGGGCCCTAGGGAACTGAGACACCCCCCCCCACACACATCCAGGGGCCCTAGGGAACTGAGACACCCTCCCTCACACCCACACCCACCCAGGGGCCCCGTGGGCACCGAGACCCCCCCACACACACACATCCAGGGGCCCTAGGAAACTGAGAGACACACACACATCCAGGGGCCCTAGGGAACTGAGACACCCCCCCCCCACACACATCCAGGGGCCCTAGGGAACTGAGACACCCCCCCACACACACACATCCAGGGGCCCTAGGGAACTGAGACACCCCCCACACACACACATCCAGGGGCCCTAGGGAACTGAGACACCCCCACACACACACACATCCAGGGGCCCTAGGGAACTGAGACACCCCCCCACACACACACACATCCAGGGGCCCTAGGGAACTGAGACACCCCCCCCACACACACATCCAGGGGCCCTAGGGAACTGAGACACCCCCCCTCACACCCACACCCACCCAGGGGCCCCGTGGGCACCGAGACCCCCCCCACACACATCCAGGGGCCCTAGGAAACTGAGAGACACACACACATCCAGGGGCCCTAGGGAACTGAGACACCCCCCCCACACACACATCCAGGGGCCCTAGGGAACTGAGACACCCCCCCACACACACACCAGGGAGGGACACCCCCCCACACACATCCAGGGGCCCTAGGGAACTGAGACACCCCCCCTCACACCCTCACCCACCCAGGGGCCCCGTGGGCACCGAGACCCCCCACACACACACATCCAGGGGCCCTAGGAAACTGAGAGACACACACACATCCAGGGGCCCTAGGGAACTGAGACACCCCCCCACACACACACATCCAGGGGCCCTAGGGAACTGAGACACCCCCCCCCCCACACATCCAGGGGCCCTAGGGAACTGAGACACCCCCCCTCACACCCACACCCACCCAGGGGCCCCGTGGGCACCGAGACCCCCACACACACACATCCAGGGGCCCCGTGGGCACCGAGACCCCCCCCACACACACATCCAGGGGCCCTAGGAAACTGAGAGACACACACACATCCAGGGGCCCTAGGGAACTGAGACACCCCCCCCACACACACACATCCAGGGGCCCTAGGGAACTCAGACCCCCACACACACATCCAGGGGCCCTAGGGAACTGAGACACCCCCACACACACATCCAGGGGCCCTAGGGAACTCAGACCCCCCACACACACATCCAGGGGCCCTAGGGAACTCAGACCCCCCCACACACATCCAGGGGCCCTAGGGAACTGAGACACCCCCCCACACACACACACACATCCAGGGGCCCTAGGGAACTGAGACACCATGCCCCTATACACACAGGGGCTCCTGGGCACTGAGACCCCTCTACACACTCAGGGGCCCTAGGAAACCGAGACACCCCCCCACACACACACACGCAGGTGCCGTAGGAAACTGAGACACACACACACCCACACACACAGGGGCCCTAGGGAACTGAGACACCCCCCCACACACACACATCCAGGGGCCCTAGGGAACTGAGACACCACGCTCCTATACACACAGGAGTGGTCCCATGGGCACAGAGACCTCTTACACACACCGGAAGGTGCATTAAGTCACACCCCCACCCCCCGTATGGACTTCTATCTGGAAACCTTCATGCAGACCCCTCACATTGCCATGAGATCAACTCCATTTATACAGGTTTCAGAGTAGCAGGTGTAAGTCTGTATCCACAAAAAGAAAAGGAGGACTTGTGGCACCTTAGAAACTAACAAATTTATTTGAGCATAAGCTTTCGTGAGCTACAGCTCACTTCATCGGATGCTTGTGCTCAAATAAATTTGTTAGTCTCTAAGGTGCCACAAGTACTCCTTTTTGCCCATTTATACAGGTACTTCCAGCGCAAGACAGCCTTGTACATAGGTACTTCTTACACCCAGAAGCCCCTGGGGAATTGAAAAGCCCCCTGTCAGATATCCATCCCTTTACAGGAGCTTTACTGCACTGTTCCTAAGCCCTGCCCTCCCTGTAACTATTCTGGCATCCTCATCTTTTCTCAAGAGCATTTCCTTGGGCTTTAAACATGTATTTTATTTGTTTAAAGTCTCTGGCAGCTGCAGGAAACACTTGTTGGAGGAGCAACATGGTTTTTACTCTCTCCAGAAATAAAAGCAGCCAAAAATGTTTATATCTGACACACCAGGTACTCCTCTTCAGGGTGCGAGTGACGCAGTATCACAGGTGAAAAGAGTAGCTGTTAGGACAATGAAGGTAATGTACTGAGTCAAGTTAATCCTCAGTGAAACTCCAGATTACTTCAGTATTTCACCAGAAATTCATGTGGCTCACTTAATTAATTTCTAATGCATCTATCACCATGGTACTTAGGTGTCCTAGTCTTAAATTAGGAAACGTCAACTGTGTTCAGACAATATTGTGTTATTGGTACAATATTAACCTTACTGTCATCAAATTCAGCTCTAATATTGTGTTTATTTCAGTTACATAGACTAAACCCTTTAAATGTTTATGCACATACATCTGTTTAAAGGTAAGAACC